ATGACGAAACCGTATTACGTTACCCCGAAATACCGAATGATTCCCATTCAATTTCGCATACCACCACTTCAGTATAGATATTGGGAGAAACCGTTTTTCATTCAACTGCAGAACACTTTCGGGACATTTTGGTTCGGTTTCGAACCCTAATATAAAGCAAGCCATTAATGTGTACAAGGGATTAAGTCCAGTACACCATATTACTATGCACCGTGTATGTGTATAGATAACGTCGGCTTAGTTTTCACATGGGACACAAGCTCTAGCTACATCTTAATTGCACCTTAGTGATATTTAACGAAACCCTCGGCGTATTACACATTGCGAAGTGCAAAGTACATTTAGGATGTATCATTATATTTGGATATCATTTGGGATGTTGCAGGGCAACAATCGATACGCGCGGAGGAACAGCCTTCAACAGGAAATAATTACTTTCATCTCTGAGTATTTTTACAGCGAGTCTATATTGTAAGCTCTTAACGTTAATAAATACAAATTAATATACATAATATAATATCGTTGGACGATTTGTGTTCACATTTAAATAATTTTAAATCGACAACTCGTAATAACTTAATGCGACGTCATAATAATATAATATATACCATGGCCAAAGATTATGTCGGGCCAATTTAATGGGTATAAGGACCTATATTATAATATTTCATGGCATATCATGGGTTATGCAATACTTTTTAGACGTTATACCGTTAGAATGTATAAATGTCGGATTGACTTTGATACTTAAATCCGGGCCGGTTTCAATATGTTAACGGACGGCTTATCCATTCGACCTGCCCACGTCGCTTCCCGACAGCCGCAATATCTGCGTTGTATTATGTCGTCTACGCGGACAATGTAAACAATATGCCGAAACAAACACCGGTGGTCCGACGTATATTTTATTCTGTCCTAAAAGCATTTAAGTGTATTGCATTACTCCGCGCTTGAGTGCAAATGTAATATATTGTGCGCGGGAAAAATTAAAAAAAAAAATTGATGAAATCCGGACCGTTTTTAACGGTTAAATTATTATAGGTTATATTTTATTACGATCGTATTTCGTTATAGAGTAAAAAGAAAAAAAAATTGTAGGTTAACAAGACAATATTACCTATATCGTTAACAATAATCTAAATTATACTTTAACCGTTTAGTAATAACAAATTATAAATTCGATTGAGTAGTACAACAGTAGAAATGCAAATGTGTATGCAATTATTTTAAATGAAACAAATAAATAGTACTAACGCTGTTAAAATGAATCGATTTCTCTAAATAAAACTTTTTATATAATATTCACAATAATATGCCGCTTTCTTACGGCCCATGAAATTCGTTATTAAACAACGTGTTCTTGAAATGTTTATTTCACCAATTTGTTTGTATTTTTAACATCAAATTTTACCGAATTAATTAACTCAATATTTCTAGTCACATTTCAAACGTTTTTTTCTGCATTATAATTTATAACTCAATCATTGCGTTTTATTCATTTATATTGAACAATTATTTAAACTGATTAAACATAATTCGTAAAAGAGCTGTTAAAATTTTTAAACCTGTCTGATTTAAGTCGATACTTAACTCAACGGGATAAAAAAAAGATTTTTTATACTTAGATGATTCCCAAAAAGGGTCATCGTCGTTCTTTTGTCTACCCCTCCACTACTCTCCCTCCAGCGTCTCCCAAATCCAATAGTATTATGAGTAATTAACGAAGTTTTAGGGTTTCCTGGCGAGCTTTTTCGTCAATTTCGAGGTAAGTGAAGTAGGTAGGGGTCGGTAAGGCATTTCGTGTCGTTATTATTTTCCAGCATAAAACAATAAGAAACGTTTCCATTGTGTTGGTAATAGCTGCGGAACAATAAACCCGCCAAATGGCCTAAGTTCGATACTTCACATTAAAACCCAGGGTGTATAGTGGGTTGGTTTGAGTTCAGGCCGTGGGTGGGGGGATGAGGAGGGATGTTGAAGAGCGGAGGGTTGGTGTAGTTCACAGGAGACACGCGGAGGAGGGGATAAAAGAGGACAAGTGGTGTTGGAAATCCAGATAAGTTTAAAACCAAGACCTGGCTATGTCAACACGCCAATAAATTTCATTCCTCTATAATTTTGGTATGCACACTTACAATCACATACCTATATAAACATATTCGCGAATACCATATCCGACTGTATTTGTTCTCCATAACACGGGGACGCCATTGGAACGCGTCAGTTACCACATGGGTTAGCTCCAGTAACCGGAATGTTATAAGTAAACATAATTTCTGAACTCTACGACAGAGTTATTTATTTAAAAGTAATTCATACCTTTGTTGCGTACATTGTCCCCTATCCTCATCCCTAACCTCGTAGCTGTCGACTTCAGACATTACCATAATCTAATACCATGAACATTTCTGGTCGAATTGTGGAAGTATGTCTTATATCTTTTCCAATAAACATTTATACATTTACAGAGCTATAAAAACAGTCTGTTCATTAAATACCATATGCAAAATTATTTATACATAACTTTATTTACAGTTTATAATTGCATGTTTTTGTTTTAAAAATAATATAAATAAGTTAGAAAAGTTCAAAGCGTATGCATTTTGTTTGAAATACGTGTACCTATTATATATGTTATACTACATCAAATAATAAAATATAATTTTGGGAAATAATAGTTATCAAATACTTAGTTTAAAAAATGTCTTTATTATTTAAAATAATAAAATAGTTAAACATTCCATCAAACACTATTTTTATATCATCATTTATGACTAAATTAACTGAAATAGTGCATCACAACAGTAAATGTACATACATTTATCGAATAATGTATGTTAAACAGTAAAAACAAACGAAATATTTTACTTTCAAATTGAAGAACAAAAACAAAAAATGTAAATTTTTTATACTAATTGTATCATCATATTTTGTTTGTATCTGTATCCCAAATGAGTAGTAACAATTATTCAAGAGTCAAGTTCATAGTTTTAAATCTTAATGCAATCGAAAAATACTAGGGAAAATGTACCAAAATCTTTTTACACCCTAGTACCCTATCTATCCACTGTGGGTGAAATTTATAAGCAACCACTATATTGGTGAAAGAAAACAAGCAAGATATAATAAAGGTTAAGGTAAATCATATTAGTTGATTAATCGAGTTTCAAAATAAACAAAAAAAGATCCTGAGCGGGTACTTGAATTTGACACATTTGTATTTGATTAACCAAGGCACTGAATTCAAACGTGACACATTGTAACTCTAGACTATTAGTCAAAGGCGTGCCTTAAGAATGTCCCAACATTGTTAAATCCCGTTATTCGGTGAACATAGTTTAATCTCTAGAGGGCACCCGGCTTGGGCAATGGACACGGTCGACAAACCAACTTCATTGAATTCCTTAAAATGAACAATTCGGCAACTTAAACTAAATTTTCTTTTAATATATTTTTTTTTATAACGTAAGCCATTTAATGTAAATGCTGTCTGGATTATAAAAAATCAACAAACAAACAAAATAATTTGATTAAAAAAAAACTATATTACTCTATACAATTTAACTAAAAAAAAAAAAAAAAATGGAATAAATTAAAGTTAAAAAACCTGATTGAAGATTTTTTTAGATAAATGTTTGTAAAGCATTACATTTAAAATAACATGGAATAATAATATCTAAACCAGCCATCTATTAATTAAATGTATGATGCATTGTTTTTGTACAATTTGAGTTTTATACAAGTGAACTAATAACATAAAAAAACTTTTACGAAACGAAACATAGCTATCATCTTGCGAACAATAAAACGTATCAATGACAATATTGTACATTATAATCACGTAATAGATTATGAAATCCTCATGCTCCTTGCAAACGAAGGCACGTAAATAGTTAATTAAAAACTCATCGACTTATCTTATAGCTTGGCATTAGTTATCCTTAGGAATTTTTTTTTTATTTCAACCCAGTATTATTGTTGATGTTATTGCAGATCATTTTAATTCATATATTTGCCAACTATTTATGAGTAATTTAAGAGAAAAACCTTGTTTTAACAGATCAGAAAAAAATTAGTATAATAATTACGAAATTCTAATTATACTTTTCTGTTACAATCGATGCGTAAGTGTGTAGCCAAAAAAATCAATTTGAAATCCGTCCCTCCAAGTTTATTACTTATCAGCTTATCATTTTACTTATAATAATTTCCAACAAGACTTTTACATTTATAATATAAATATATAATACAATAATACATCTTTATTTTACGAATTCTAAAATGACAATTAATGTAGCATGATATGATATATCGGAAAACATATATTGACAGTTAACACCTAGTAAGCTACTTAATTCTTATAGTATGATAAGTATCATGTACGATGTACCTATAGTATTGTCTGTGTAATAATATAATGTTATTTAAAACTCATAATATTATTATATCGATGATAATATTACATATTTTCACAGAACAAGTCCTATGTATTTTGATATCATACGGATTTATACATTTTTCATACGTTTATTACAATATTGATATTCGGATCACACGACCGGATATCCAATCGACGATGAACAAAATTCAACGAATTCGTTGATGTATAACCCAACAAAGAATTTCCGATCAAATGAACACGACAAAGGTTTTCAAAAACATAATTAGTACGACCAATATAGTTTTTAGTAAAACCTTTCGTGCAATATTTATATAAATAATAGTTTTTCGTTGATGTGAGATGTGTGTTAAGTTAGTGCCTAATCTACACAAACTCGTCTGATATCATAAATATAATATCACACACTGCACATATACAATGCGCTTGTTGTTATCCTTTTAAAAACATTAATCAACAGTCATATTAATATTGTATATAGATAAAACACCGAGGAAATAAATTGCGTATTCTATTGAAACGTAACAACCGATAATCAACAGCACTCAATCGTTTGGAAATTGTGATTTGTATTATCATCTCAAAGATGATCGACATTATTTTAAGCATAACGATCCAATCCATTTATTTCATTTTCTGGTTTGGACGATACAGCGGAGTACTTAAAAAGTAAAAACCTCAAAAATCGACCTCGGAGAGGATGGGCCGGGATGGTTCTTATCAAAATATTGCAGTTCGCTCGTAAAAAAATAATAACGGAACCATAATAATTGAATTCCAAATGCATGTGTATTGTGTGTAATCTGTTTCTTGGCAAATCCGTTTGACCTCTTGAAATCTGCATAACACCGAGTATTGAGCTCTGGAATTTCTTCGTACGCCTTGGGAATATTTTGATCATTTCTACCTCGGGCGCATTACTTATTCGTTACTCGTACTCGTTCCCTGGGTGCAAATAGCTTGCATTTATCTGCACGTTCTCTCCCCACAGACACTTAAGGTAATTCCCAATAGCGGTGAGAAACGACAGAATTTTCAAGCATTATGTAAATATTTTTTTTTTTTACATACATCTAATTTCCGTTTTGGGTTTTATTAAATGACCATTTTAGTGTATTGTGCGTTTGTCCTGATGGAAAAAAAATATTCTGCTAATATTTATTACGTCAAAGTAAACATACAAAGCTCACGAAAAAAAAAAAATTAAATGTACGACCGCTGCGTATGATTTATTGCAACGGAACTGCACAGTATTTGGTATTATTTACAATTTGTATTCGGAATTTATTTCAATCGTTTTTTAGTCCCGGTTGGATTAGATTGAAAAGTTATATGCATAACAAATTATAATTAATAATGCCACTAAATAGGATACCCTAACAATAGTTAAAACTGGGAACTTTTAATAAAAAATGAAATAATACAACATTACTGTTCAAAATAATTATGCATTGTGCATAATATTATAATACATTACATAATAATATTATATTTACTTTTAAGTTCAATTTAGAATTTGTAAATTACAGGAATGAGGTATTTGATTAATTTACAGTTATTTTATATTGTATACAGGAATGCTTCGGCAAATTCCAATAATATGTTGGTACTGCGTCGTAATAAAATGATGTATTTAATCCATCATTTAGTTTATTTAATGTAGCTAAAACGGAATTTATAGTTCGTATCAGACTTTTCAAGTACAGTGTGAATTTTAAATAAACATATTTCTCGTTTGATGCAATCATAGTAATAGATTTTGAAATATATAGAGTTTGAAAATGTTATTTTAAAACAGCGGTTTGCAGTGCAATAATATTTATTTTTTTCTAAACAAATCAATACATTAATGATATTGATGCGTAATTATATTTTTTCCTTAATTATCGACTCAATAATGGCTATAAGTTTTTAAGATTTTACGACTTATCTATTATTTTGCTCAACACGATATGATATTATTATACTGGTGGTAAAAATAATAACTATATGGACGATTTAATAACTATTACACATTTGAGTTAAATCGTTCAGAAAACGACTGAACGTGAGTTTCGGCATTTTTAATCGGTATTTATGTCTTATGTCTTTTTGAAAGTTGCACCGGATTTCTGGTAATCCCTCTGAGATCTTTCTCTCAGAATTTAACGTCTAGTAGAATTCAGTAATAGTGCAATAATATACTCGTCCGTGACAAATGAAAACGAATATCGTAACCTTTACCGCTTAAAGCGTCTGCTGTAAAACGTATGTTACTTTTTATGGAATGTATGAGTTTTTATACTAGGAAATAGTCGCGTCTAGTGCAAAGTTCATCTGGAACAGCTAATTTGATTGATATGTAATTTAAAATGGCACATATAATTTCACGATATGTGCCTGCAAAGTTAAGGGGAAAAAAAACGTTCGTCTCTGATCATGTTGTATATGTTAGTAAATAATATATATATATAAATACAGTTCTTACATTTTTTTTCTTGATTCCAAGCATTCGTATTTCACACGATATTTGAATTTAAATATATAAAGTATACCTATAGGTAGTTATAGTACCTATATATTATAGTAGTTTATATTATTAACGAGGAAGGAAGATGCAAAGTCTTGGATTACAGTGCACGACAGAGAATATTATCAAAAGGAATAAAATAAACTGCGTTTCATGCTTTTCTCCGTGTCGGTTTTCATTAAAATATAGGTACACATATTTTTTTCTGGAGCACACCACACCCGCTTTTGTTGTATTGGTTCGTCTAACACAACGGATTTTCGTTCAGTTGTTCGTGTTTAGTTTTGTTAGCTATAACACTGAAGTTATCCTAGCATCAAGTTTAAACGTAAATTATATTTTTTATATGGTATAAATGCTTGTGTCAATTTTTTTAATTTGTAATGCTGGTAAGAGGTGGGTATAATATCAATTACATAGTACGATAATTATATTATCTGATTATCTGATAATCTTATTTTCTGCGGCCTATATTAATTAGGTACGAGGATAAGCAGGTGGTGCGACAATTTCTATAATGCTATCTAATATATATATATTTTATTACAATATTATAATAGGGTAGTTTTTGGACTACCTATAATAATTTTTGTTTGGCAATCGACTGATCGTTTCATCTAAACAAAGACGTCATTATCTACTTTAGACGATTGTATATAAGACACGACGGTCACATTTCGGGGGAAAATCTTACTGCGAGATAAAATTCAGTGGCAATATGTCTATTAGAATCACTGACTTTTAGTCTCGCAAGAAACGAAAAAAAAAAAGTAAAAAGGAGAAATGGTTGAGATTATATTGTGTTGACCGGCGTATTTGTGCTCACGTTTTCGACCGACACGAGTACGTTTTCGTCTGAGAATAATGTTCTGGCCGACAAAACATTTCGACTGGGTGTACGTGTTTATTGGTTTGATATTTTTGAAACGGCGATTCGCCGGAAATTGAACTGCGGAAACGGATATCCCTTTTTTATTAGGTATATGCCCAGCTTGATGGCTCTCTCCACTTCGCAGAGGATGCTATATCACTGCAGATAGTGGCTCTTGTTTTCGACGACGATCGTCGTATGTCAGGTGCCATTTTTACGAATTTCATTATATAGAAATTATAAATTTTAAATTGTATATTATTTTTTTCGACTGGATAAAAGCCAGTATTGTCGACGACCGGTGGGAGGGGGGGGGAGGATGTTATGTAAACCTCGGAATTTGAAAAACTGTTTTGTTGTAAAGACCGAATATGGAGTGGTCACAATCGTAATAATTATTCTCGTCAGTATTTTCGTATGATATTTTGCTACATTATATGTATTTTATGTTTTTGAAATGTCTCATGTCTTACTAAGCCACTGGGTACGCAATATTACACGTCATGAGGCAAATTTTTAGCGAAACTCCTTTCTAGTGAACAGGAGAGCACGATATCCATTAGGAAATATTATAATGTAAGTATTCGATATTCATCCGGATCGGTACCAATACTGTCGACCCGTTTAAACTCTATTTATACTATACATTACGTATACTAATTGTATGAGGTTACAACGATATTAAAGTATTAGTAAACAAAATTTCTGTTTAAATGTATAACCTTTTCAATGTGTTCAACAAGCTCACCATAATATTTTAGTTTTTAATTTAATAATATATTTTGTATTCTGCCCACGACGTGTCACCGTCGCATTGAAATAGTTCTGTGAAACTTCTCGTAAAAAAAATATAATCAAATGTCGATATTTATTGCCCGTCAAACTATTCACCTGACATAAATATGCACTTGGAGTTTTATTCGTCTTATAAATTGTATTAACTTCAAGTGTGATTGAATATCCCCTGAAATAAAATTTACTGTCAACTTTCACATTATATGCTCTTGATACGAAAATAAATAAAACTGTATATTATTAAACTGTCTTATTTTGATGAAATGTATCATTTATCGCTTAAATATTATTTTGAATATTATAGGAATATAAAAACCAATTTTAAAATCAAATCGAAATTAGCATTTCATAACTTCTCACGTCAGTCTGGACGATCTTTGATTATCAATTGTATATTTATTTAAAATTTTAAAATACTAATCGGATAATACGCTTGAATCTACTTCAGACTTTTATAAAATATGGCCGAAAAACTGATAATGGTGAGGATACATCTAATCTCTCTTTAACTTTTTTTTTACTTAGAGTTTATACTATATTATAGTGAAGTAAAGACATTATAGTGTAATTAAATTCAATATCCACTGTAGAATTTAACACGGACTGGTGTCCTCGTCGAACAACATTTAATATTTCTATCGATCTTCAAGTGAGTTATTCGGATAATTAGTCGGAAATATTCGGATAGTTAGTAACGATGATTATATTATTTTTATATAAATCTTAATTATATAATATTATGTATACTGTATACTATATTAGCCATATTAGTCATAGTGTAATATTTATAACCACAATGTACCACTGGGACTTTGGTCCATTGTATTCATTTATTTATTTATTTGAATAAATATTATTATTATTATAACAAAATCAATTTATAATAATATGAGATGATAACGTATTTAAATATTTTCTAATTACTCATTGTAACTTTACGCATTGTACTAGATTAGGAATAGAATCCAAAATATTAAAATTATAAGATACTATCTATAATCTTATAGAAATAAAAAAAAAATAAAAGTTTATATAATTGATATTAATTTTAAATTTTTTAAAAAACTTTTATTCTTTAAGCTGAGTAGTTCAAAAATAGATCTTAATATTTTATTATTTAAAATATTTTGTCTTATTAAATATTCTACACATTTTTGTTTTTATAAACATTTAAAAAAATGTAGGCATATATTTTTATATTACTTACTTGGCTACTACCTCGTTTTTAAGTTTATATTGCTAAAAAATAAATAAACGATAAATAGGTAGTACCTAACGACACACTAGGAATCTTTGTACTAGGAATATAATTTGAACGATAGTCTAAACTAAATGTCTAAAGACATGACGTGTTTCTCATTATGTCTCTCATTATATTGCACTAAACTCGTAAATAATATGATCAATAAGAATATGTAAATGTACAAACCGTTGTATTTACAATACAATAATTATTTATACATAATGAATAGTAATAATTACAAACGATCCGTAACGTCTCAACGTAATGCTATAGTTTTAAAGCAAATATAACTATAAATATTTACGAAGTGCAATTAAGTAGAAATTCAGTCAAACATTTCAAGTAGGTATACCGAAATCCATTACGAATACATTACTACAAGATACTATGTTATAAATAATTATGATACATTAAATATCTTGTTTTCAGTCATTAGGTATGTATTTCTGTGATTTAATTTATAACTCGATGAAAAATTAAAAA